GGGGGCATTTGAGGGGCAAACTCATATTTTGGGGGGCAAGATAGAATTTTTAAAAAGGTACTGCTATTTGCCCATACCGTTGTCACAGGACTTTTGTCTCTCCCCCAGGAGATTCGCCCCCCTCTCAAAAGGGGCCGATATTCCTAGGAATACCGCCCCCGGGGGACGAATATCCCCCCTTAGGATATTCGCCCCCCATATATGCGATGTGGTTTATTCAAATAATTTTGTGATACTTTCATCTTATTAGTGCCTTAATTAAGGCCCATACAGACCAGACGCTATTTGGCAACGCGAATTTTCAGTTTTCAATGACATTTAACTTTAATATTTTTCATTGTTTTTCAAATATTCGGGACCACTTAGCAATTTTAGCTATTTGGTCTGCATACCTTGTAAAATTTTTATCCGTTGACGGTTCATTTGTCAGTTTAATAAAACTGAAAATTCGCGTCGCGTTGCCGAATCGCGTCCGGTCTGTGAGGGCCTTTACACGTTTGAAAACTAAAGCTTTTTTAAAACGTATTATTGGAGTATTGGCAAATTTTACCATTCAGAGATTTACAAACTAATATTGAAACTGTAAAGGACAGTTTCATGTATACGAGCATTCACTAATGAGTAATGACAACTTATAAGCCATACATTTTCCGATAACGACAAAACGCTTGTGTAGCCTTTAGTCGCTCTCAGTGACTAATAAATTTTTTTGAGGGGGGGGGGCAAAATGGGGGGGGGGGCAAAAAATTATTTGGGGGCATCCCCCCCCTGGCGCCGCCACTGACGAACAGCCTGTATCTGGCGACGGTTACAACAGGTTCGCGACAGTTCACGACCATATGGAAACCAGACCTTACTGTACTGCAGGAAAAAACACACGATCAAATTAATGAAGAAAAAAACCCCGAAGAATTTCAAGAGCACACGTGCGTCACAATCGTATCACACGTTGTTGCATTGACGTCCTCACGTCCACTTTAGTTATCGCAAAGAATTAAATCAATTAGATTGATACGCGTCAGACTCAAGATGCGTCAAACCGCGCGGTAGGTAAGTGCGATTTCCATGCAGATAACTCGACGAGGCCCGTTTATACTGCAATTTCTGCTGCGATTTTAGGTGCGAGTTTCTTCTGATGCATGTGAACGAGTGAATATGTACTGCACTCAGGTTTCATTGGAAACCAGTTTTGTGAATAATTATCCACTGAATAGGCTACCGTGTGTAAAGAATTTTATTCATTGGTATGAAATAGGTAATTGGACAAGTACTGGTGTAAGACATTGTGTAGCCTAAATATAGTGAGGACCAGCAGTCCAAAATGGTTATCCTTTATTTATTTACTACGACTCCTATGATGAACATGTACGCAAAAAAACAGGGAAAATACGATTAGATAGAAACTAAAATACGTGCCGAAATTATTATGTGACACGATAAAAGGCGAGGATATATAAGAGCGAGAGATTGAATTTGATAAGGAAAGGCAATGATGAATGTTTATTCGTGCAATGGTAAGGATATTTTCATTCGGTGAAAGATGGAATGTTCCATTCAACCAGGTGATTCAACGAGGCGACAAGTTGAATGGAACATTCCATCTTTCACCGAATGAAAATATTCTTACCATTGCACGAATAAACATTCATTATTTCTTTTATATAATACCAAAATAGACTAATAGATTCGTATGAGAGGCACTTTGACGGATGCGATTTATCAAAAACACAAACAGTGCAATGGAATAAAACGTATAGTACAATTGCACTCGCAAACGTATTCCATTGCATTCTTGGGAAATAGGATTTTCTATTCAATATCACGTGACCATAAAAAGCCAATTAAACGATCAGAATTCAAAAAGGTATTATATCATCTGAACATTCATGACTCATGCACTCGTTCGCATCCATCAGAAGGAGAAAATTGTAAACGGGTCTCTGGCTCTGCCGCTCCGTGGACCTTCAATTTTCTGACATGGCCAGAAATTGCGGACATGGTTTATTCCACTAATTCCTTCGTAATTTGCACATCACGTTGAAATATGGCTTCAACAGACGTAAACAGTGAATTATAGAAGGCGACTGACGTTGTTAATCGCAAATTCTGAGAATAAAGTAGATTGTTTGCAACTTGCCTCAATCGCTGGTTGCAAAACCATGTCTGTCGTGCTTAATGTAATGTTCGACTGATGTCAGTTTAATACCCTCTCTTCTGCATTCTCAATAATTGTACAGAGGTTAGTTTTTTCGATATATTTGTCTATTTAACTCTATATATAAGAATACCGCACTTCTGCCGCTAGGAACACACGAAAATGCGGAATAGGCAGTAACTTACCCCGGGCAAACATTACGTAACACTAAATATTTCCACAAACGTTGTTCTGCAACTAGCAATTGAGGCAAATGGCAAACGATCTATCATATTCTTCGATTTTGTGATTCACAGCATCGCGTAATATAGCAAACAATTACACGACAGAAATTTCAGCCCGGGATGAGTTTCAGCCCCGGCTGAGTTGAAGCCATAGCCGGGCTGAAAATTTCATCGCGGTTGACAGGGCCGAAAACCGTCATGTAATCGACGGAAAATTCATTTTATAGCTCCACTTTGAGATTTGATCGTTTCCGAGCCCGGGCTGAAATTTCACCCCGCTTTGAACGGAAATTCTTACTCATCCCAGGTCGAAATTAGCCATGTAATCATGAAACAATTTCAGCTCTGTTAACCCGGTTGAAATTCAGCCCAGACTGAAGGATTTTATCCCTAAGTTCTAGTTCTATATAGTTTTTCAGTTCGTATATATAGCTGTATATCCTTCGTATCCAGCTGTCGTTTTCTCACAGCTTGTCAATTAACAAGATGTGTTCGCACTGCTGGTTCCCAGTTGTTGACAAGTCTGGAACAAGTTGTTATCATCTTGTAACAAGGTTGATGTGGCCAACAGAGTAACAGACACACAACAAGTTGTTGCAATAAGTCTGATATCGAATGCACGTACAAGTTGTTTAATAAGTCTGATATCGTATGCACGTACAAGTTGTTTTAACAACTTGTACGTGCATTCGATATCAGACTTATTGCAACAACTTGTTGATGACAACAAGCTGTAGTCGTATAGCAACTTGTTACGAACAGCCTGTATTAGTCTTGTTGGAACAATTTGTAGCAAGTCTGTTACCGTAATCAACCTTGTAACAAGGTGATAACAATTTGTTTCAGACTTGTCACAACAACTGGGAACAAGCAGTGCGAACACATCCTGATATCGGTTTATTCAATTGTAGAATACTACCGAGTACCGACACTGGATTCCCACGTTCGAAATTTATCAAGTTGAAGAGTTGTCAAGAAAATTTCTGTGAAAACAGGCAATGTTTATGAAAATATAAGACATAATAGCTGTAGGGTATGTAAATATTGACCCTGATATATACATCGCAAAGCCATATTCGATTAACCAAAATTTTAATTATAAATTCATACAAACAGCAATTTCTGGTGGTTAACCAAAATTTCTGATATCACTTTCCATTTATCCAGCACAAATTGAAATTGAATAAATGAGTGATTGACATAAAAACATTGGAAAGCTTCCAGAAAAAAGTTCAGCTGAAATTTCAACAAGCACTTTTTTAATTTTTAATTTCAACAAGGCAGACGTTTTCAATATTAAAAATTCTTGCCAAACAGAAGCGGAAGTTTGACAAGTCACGAGTGTCATAATAAATCAAAAACATGCGGTGGTAAATTCAGGGCTGTTTTGCATTTCGCATTCATAATAAACAAACGACTAAATTGGCCGATGACTATCACACCGGAGCGTGAATTTTGTTCGTATTTGCCTAGTTTAGGGGTTAAATAATAGCTTCAGCAATGTAAACATGACTCCATAAGGTATAACGCTATTTGTCTTTGGATAAAAGTGTGTATGAACAAATTCAGTGCAACGATCTTTCATATTTAAGCTTGCGCTAGCAGCTAGCCTGCAGAATCCGAGCTAGTAAAAGTGGACTATAGATTTTGCGCACAATAGCCTTATGGATTTGGTGGTTGAGACAATGTAGGCCACAGATTAATTCATGTGACACACAAAAACACCAACTTCCTGCTTGTATTATTCTTAAATTAAGCTGGGTTTCACCTCAACCTTTTGGTATGCAAGATATGGGATGGTTCACCTTTGAATATATACCCCAGCACTAAGGATTAACGACACATTCAGCCAATGCCATGGTCTTTACAGAATGATTAATAGCAGTTAAATACACACATATTCAGTCACGGTTAACAGCGGTATATACAACGGTACAAGACTAAATAGTGCAGATTTGAGTATACCTTCACAAAGGACGGATGGAACGAATTAAAGTGCAGCTAACCGAATGATAGACAAACAATTGTCAAGCTAATGTCAATGGAACTGAATTGAATTTGGGTATTATTCAACACTAGTCTTAGGCTTTAGGCTAACCTGCAAGCGTTGAATCCACCTCATGTTGTAATCTTTCAGAATTCCTCATTCTGTGATCAAAACCTTGTATCCTTTATACAAAATCCAACGCGTCTTCGCAGCAGACAGCTGCGAATGTGCTCGATTCCCAAAGCGTCCGGTTCAATTTGAATAAATGAGCAAATAGATGTCAAATCCAAATATACTTATATGCGAGTCAACAAACTGCTAAAGCGTCCCAACAATAATATAAGCTCTGTTTGGCAAAGTATTTGAATATACGCACTGCAGGAGGCCGGTTAGGTGATAAACAAATTGTAGATAATGAGTATTCCTAGCTGTCCCGAAAAATGTGTCACATAATTGCACTAGATTGTATCATAATATTTGAAAATATTTCCATATTTCAATGTCCTGTCACCTGTGGATCCCCAGTTGCTATGAGAGACACGAATTACCATAATTTTTGCATCACATTGACCACAAGCCGTCTGAATTGGACAAAAGAATTTAAAAATCTTTGAAAATGCGCGAGTCTTCTCGCTGTGCAATCGTAATACTTTGATTAGATTATTTTAACTCAGCGTGTTAACTATTAAGTCGCTTTTAATCAATTTCTATATTAATTTAACACGGAAATTTCACTGTATTCGCTCATTTTCAGGAAACATGGCTAGGAAACAATGTTTCCTGGTTTGTCCACTTTCGGGGAATATGGCTAGGATTCCTAGGAAACAATGTTTCCTGGTTTGTCCACTTTCGGAAAATATGGCTATGGAAAACAATGTTTCCTGGTTTGCCGATCTTCAGGAAACATGACCGTACGAAACAATGTTTCCTGGTTAACTGGTTTGTTCACCTTCGGGAAACATGGCTACGAAACAATGTTTCCTGATTTGTCCACCTTCGGGAAATATGGCTAGGAAACAATGTTTCCTGGTTTGTCCATCTTCGGGAAACATGGCTACGATTACGAAACAATGTTTCCTGGTTTGCCCATCTTCAGGGAACATGGCTACGAAACAATGTTTCCTTGTTTGTCCATCTTCGGGAAACATGCATATGGCTACGATTACCGCGAAACAATGTTTCCTGGTTTGCCCATCTTCAGGGAACGTGGCTACGAAACAATGTTTCCTGGTTTGTCCATCTTCGGGAAACATGGCTACGAAACAATATTTCCTGGTTTGCCCTGGGATATATTCATTGACAAAAAAGAGGCATTTGGTATTTAGATTTAATTATTTATAGCTAAAATCACGTATATAAAATTGTACAACTTCAGAATCATTATTAGGAATTATGTAAAACGAGTATAAAAAGATAGGGAATTTGCTATCTACATTTGGCGTGTATATATTTCTGATTTTCAGTATACATATCATATCTCTATACGGAATTAGTGCATGGTAAAAATGTATACTGTACCCTTGTCTATGTACATTTATAATTTGGAGCATTTGGTCCAGTGGGAAGAATTATTTCTGAGTGGGAAGAATTATTTCTGAGTGGGAAGAATTATTTCTGAGTGGGATGAATTATTTCCAAGAATTATTTCTGAGTGGGAAGAATTATTTCCGAGAATTATTTCTGAGTGGGAAGAATTATTTCTGAGTGGGATGAATTATTTCTCAGAATTATTAATATTTTCATCCCATCTAATATCCCGCCTCGGTGGGACGACATTTATAAACATGGCGTCTTCGAAATATTCTTGTTGTAATTAAACAAATTGCACCTTGTATTACAACTTTAACAAGTCTGTTTAGGTCTATAAATTAGTTTACTTTTTAGTTTGTATTTTCCAACTATGCCGTTCAATGCTATATATAATAGGTCAAAATCGGCAAAAATGTCCATCCTGGTCTGGTCAGGTTGGATAAAGCCTTCATATGGAAAATTTTATCCCACTTGACTGAGATCCGGAATAAATAATTATTTATCCGAAATAAATAATTCTCAGAAATAATTCTCAGAAATAATTATTTATAAAATAATAATTATTTATCCAAAATAAATAATTCTCAGAAAAAATTCTTCACGGACTGGTGAGACTGGCTCGTTTCTCATATGAAAACAAATTGAATTTTATATGCGTCAACAAAAGGCATGCAAATTTCATTCAGTTTCTCGAGTTTCTCGGTACAACTGGGCTGATATGAACAGATCCTATCGCAGGTAAAAATACAGCAGTGTAAAGGCTCACTAAATGACCCTTCATGCTTGCAGTGGCGTAACGCTCATTGGGTAGGGTTAGTTCAAAAACTAAGGGCCCCCGATAGTTAGGGGCCCCATCAGGCACGGCCTATCGCCCAGAAAATTAGAAAACGTAAAAAATGGCCGTTAGAATCAATGGGAAAATGCAAAATTAATGCTAAATAATAAAATGTCCATCGACAACGGTAGCGGATTTTTTATTCCATTTCAACAATAAAACAAAATTTATTCTTATCAGTTGTTACATGTGTTGGAGACTGTTATTGTTGTTGTTATAGACACGGAATTTTCCAGATCATTCTATAAATATTCAATATAAATATATTATCTCAGTCAGACAATGACAACATTCCAACAGGGGCCCCCACACCAAATATGCCTAAGGGCCCCCTCCTCCTCCGTTACGCACTGCATGCTTGTCAACAGCGTTGACATTCATTTAATTAATCATGTTTAATTAATTTCGCGTGGATTGGCCGAGGTATTTTGTCCTTTGCATCATATCACAAATACGAATGGTGACATGTAGCCTGCCAATAACAGCCGCCTGATTGTCTCGTCTCGGGCGGCTGTCATTCGCAGGCTAGGTGGCATGGAGAACGGTGGAATTTTCAAAACAATGAACAAAAAATGAAACGTTCTGATCACTGCGTGGCATTCATTTCAAGTGCTATGCAAAAGTTAAAAAATATTGACGTTTCACGTTAATTAGCCGCGGTTGCAGACATGCAAATTTTCTATGACAAGTGTTTTCATATATGGCAAGATATATTGGCTCGTCTTAATTGCCAACTCTTTTATGACCGAAGTAGGCTACATAGTACTTGTTCAAAAGCTAGCATACTAGGAAGTGTACTTATCACAGAAAACATTGGCCAAAGATTAGTTAAAGTTATCAGCGTTTACACTATATATAGAGAAGCTGCAAAATATTGATGTAATAAATACATGCCCACAGTATAAGTTTAAGAGGCATGTCTACTTAATAAGAGAGGTTATTAGGATTTCAAGTTAAGTGTGTGCTTAATCATAGGCTATCGAAGGGAAGATGACGGTGAAACTCATTGGAATAACAATATAACTCTTATATAACTCATTATCTATGTCAGTCAACATTTAATCATAAATCTGATTCTTCATCGTCACGTGCGTATTGCCGTATTTTTGCCCCCAAATAACCAATAGAAATGTTCTTGGAAAGTTACCTATCCTACCTCCTCCGCAGGCCATACAGCCCGTAATGAGTATGCCCGTTCGCAGCTGCGGAGGAGGTAGTTACCTGTCCGTGACGCGAACAATAGGGTAAATTGGAAATTGATACAATATGTGACGATAAAGGACCGTATTTATGAATAAACGTTGAACTGACATAGATAATGAGTTATATACAGGGTGTCCCAAAAGAAAACGGAAACTATTGAAATCACCAATAACAATTTAATTGTTAGAATTTGAATGCCTAAGCACTCTGTTGATTCCCACGAGTGCATAAATGATTGACATAAATTATGTTGACTTTATTGTTATTTTAATGTGCTTCACAGTCATCTTCCCTTCGATAGGCTGTGGTTTAATAGAGTTGCCCACTTAATAGGGGTAGTGACACTTTTTTCAACGACACGTATTCGCGACGAAACGTTTCAAAATCTTTTTGGCGTTCCTCTCAAAATTACTTTGTTTTAATTTTATTTTGTAGTTTACACAATTCTTTTAAATGTATCTGGCGGTTGAGAAACACAAACTAATAGTTAAATATTGTGAATTTAAATCATTGATGCTGAAGTAAAATTGACGCCATATTGATGAACTTATAGACCTGAACTTCAGACATCATTTGGGTAATTCCATGGTGACTCACGTTGCACATAAAGTACATCTTAACATTTCAGTTCAGAATTGTTTCCAGAAGTTTCTGAAAATTCTTGACAACTTTTTTTTTCCAAAAATGTCATCACTACCATGAAATTACCCATTTTCTCTTTGGCGTACCATCTAAAATCTCTTCAGTCATTTAACTTTTTAAGTTTGTTTGCCGCTTGAGAAACGTAGTATCAAAAATTTATCCGCTTATGAGGCGTGCCCTTTAATAGATGTTCCACCAATTGGCAAATAAAACTTGCCTTATGCAAACTTGTCAGAGAAAACCGACTCGTCCGTAACCGCGGCTTCAGGTCATATAGACAATGTTTATATTTATCACTGTTCATCACCTTAATTACAAGCGCATCACATGTCATACGCGGGCATGATATAATTCCTGGGCACGAGTCCAACACGAATATCCGGGATATCCATCAAGGATGCAACCCACCAATCGCTGTTCGGTATTTTCTCCCGGACGTAGAGATAATTTCCGCGGGAAAATGGCAGGTCATCGTCGTCATCGGCGATGCAGTTCCATAAAGCGACGTAAACCTTGGCAAAAATTTGAAAGTTTTTTATTATTAATATCATTTACTATATATTATTATTAAACTTATTAAAACACACGGTAGCTATTCAGTTACCTGGTTTTCAAAGGGCTGTGCGGTTTACCAACGTAGAGAATTAGATTTCACAATATACATTAGTATTTGTGCACAAGGGAATATAACAAATCCTACAAGTTGATTGGTAAAATTTGACGTACTAGGCCACATAAAATAAATTCCTTGATTCTCATCACTACACTTTGAAAATGTCGAAGAGGCGGGAGGTTTATATTTTATATTTACATAATTTAATATTTAACAATTATTCGCCGAAGGCGAGGTGATTATCGGTGAATAAAAACCGAGACGAAGTCGAGGTTTTTATTCACGATAATCACCGAGCCTGAGGTGAATAATTGTTTTAGTATAATTTCATAGGTGATTATTTGGAAAAAAAAATTAAAAATGCACATTTCTTCGTCATTTAATTGAAAAAACGGCTTCGGCCGCCATTTTGAAAATCGCTTAGGTGATTAACGCGTAATAATCACCTCAACGGCAACCAATCAGCGTGGAGAATTTTCAATAATCACCTATGTAATTATACTAAATATCAATAAATAAAAGTGTCACAAACTGAAATAAACATATTTCTCCACGAACAATGACTGGCCCTTGAACTGAATGCGAAGTTCCGTTAAAATGCAATGAAATTTCTTTCAAAGTTCTATTTGTTTGAAATTGGCAGTTT